GATTAATGAACGGATGAAATATTTATCTATACTCAGTTTTATAAGCATTTTCATTCTTTATAATGAGTAGAGAGTGAGATCAGAAGTATTAAAATATATGAGAGTATTTAAGTGTTCTTTCAGTGCTTTTATATTTGATTCTGTAGATGTTGAAATTGCATGAGTTAATTATTGAATCTCTTTATATTAAAGTTATTGAGTTGTATGCATGTCTACTATCTATTACTATTGTAATTTTAACATTACTCAGAGTCACTGTGATATCATATCTATACTTGTGTTCAAGAGTTCTATATTATTGTTAGATATGATTATATCAATTATTGAATATGTAATTGTATTCTCATATGTCTGAGTATCAGAACTCTCAGATCTTTCACTGATATTCTTTTATAAGATCTTATTACAGAGTCAGAGTAACTGATAAGTAAGCTTCTATCTGAGAACTTAGTGTCTGCTTAACTGTGTTTTCTCTTTCTTATGTGTTATTACATGTTTGAATATCTCTCAATGAATAATTGTTTCTGATGAGAAGATGATGCATAAATAATTATTTTCTAATAAGAAGATGATGAATGTTTTTATAGTGTAAGAAGTCTACACTGAATAGATCAGTATAATATTATAGATCTTATTTAACAAAGATAAAAATATTAAAGAAGGAAAGAAAGAGAAAGTGCAAGAATCAGCAATCAAGATGAATATTTATACATGTATGTGATGGTGTACGCGGTGGAGCTTTGAGGTGGAAGAATATACACACATTTGTAGCAGCTGAGAATCGGCGATCGAGAATGGCCGAGAATCGGAGCGTACGCGTTCGAGAATGAAGTGGTTGGAATCTGTGGAGTGTAACGGAATAGTCTATATGATTGATCGGGCGCAGCCCGCCACAAATATCTAGATATCTTCTGATAAGATAATATTATAAATATACTCTTCTTACAAGATTCTGAAGTGAATCACAGTATTAAGTTAGAAAAGAAGAATAATAAGAACTCTGAGTCATTATAAGACCTTCTTTATAACATGTCTCAAGATAAACTTCTTCTTCTTTGAAAGACACTTAATAATCTGTTGAATAAAAGATTCATATATGTTAGTAACTCTTCTGCTACAGCTTCTATTCTCTTGGCAAAGAAATCAGATAAAGAACTTCAATTTCATGTGAACTATTAAGAATTGAATAGATTAATCAAGAAGAACTGCTATTCTTTATCTCTTATCAATAAAACTCTAGCTTGCATCAGACAAGCTTAATAGTTTACAAAACTAGATATTATCATCACATTTCATAAAATCTGTATCACTGAAGAAGGTGAATGACTTACAGCATTTTAAACACATTATAATCTCTTTGAATGAATAGTTATACTCTTTGAACTAGTCAATAGTCTCAGTACATTTCAGAAGTATATTAACTAAGCACTCTGAGATTTTCTTGATAAATTTGCATCTATATATTTTAATAACATTCTCATCTTCACTGATGAGTTCAGAAAAGAATATCAAGAACATGTGTGAAGAGTATTATAATAATTATAAGAAGCAGAATCATCAATAGATATTAACAAGTGTAACTTTGAAGTCAAGAGTCTTAAATATCTAGATTTTATCATAGAAGCTGATAAGAGAATTTAAATGAATGCTGAGAAAGTCTTCATCATTCTTGAATGAGAAGCTTTACATACTGTGAAAGATGTATGAAACTTCATCAGATTTACTAACTTCTATCAGTAATTTATACAAAAACTTCTCAGATATTATGAGATTACTTACAGAACTTATCAGAAAGAACTCAGTATTTCAGTAATCAGTGAACACTAAAGCTGTATTTACACAGATGAAGAAGATGTTTATCAACATCTCTCTGTTAATAATATTTAACTCTGATTATGAAACAGTTATTGAAGCTGACTTCTCTGACTATGTTACAGAGAGAGCTATATTACAATATAATAATAAAAATATCTTATAATTATGCATTTTCATATCTAAGAAACTGAGTTCTGCTGAATACAACTATGAGATCTATGATAAGAAACTTCTTATAATTATACACTGTTTAGAAGAATGAGACTCTGAACTCTGAAGTGTCTCTGAATTTGAGATAATCATAGATTATAAAAATCTCAAGTACTTTATAATAATCTGTAAACTTATTGAATAATAAATATAATAATCTGAGTTTCTAAGTTATATTTATTTTATAATACACTACTGTTCTGACAGTCAGAACTCAATGACAGATACTCTCTTATAACAAGAATAAGATATACTGTCTGATGTGACAGATATATACTGAATGAATTAAGAATATCAACTCTTGAATTCAAAGATATTAGTTAATCACAATGAGATTACTTATAACACTATATATACTTTATCAGTCAGAATATTCTTCAGATCTACACTGAATGAATTGTGATATATAATAGCTTAAACTGATAAACTTCTTTAAGCACTTATTATTATTATTAGTATTATTCTTTCATTATACTCATATGCAAGCGGAGCTTATGATGAGTTCTTGTGTGATGTTAAATACAGGTCAAGTGTTGGTTATACAGAAGGAAATACAGGTGTTGAGATCATGCCAAGATAACAAGAACATAGAAAATACAAAGAAGTGACAATTAGATACATGCGATAATAACTTCCCAGCCCAGGAACATAGAGTAATTTTATTGAAGTGATTTGTACACCTCTGTATTTATTAGAAACCTGAGGTGCTTGAGTTCCGGATTTAATGTATCCCCTGCGGGTTTTGAACTCACATGTCTTGGTTTCCCACGCCAAGGCGCTACCAGGTGGCTGCATTAATCATTCAGCCACCAGGGCTCTTTAAGCACTTATTAAAGTAGTATATTAAGAAGTATTCTGATTTCTCTCAGAACTACATATAAGAACTAATATCTCAGAATGTTTAATCAATAATAATAACACTCTATAATTTTATAAATAACACTGAGTCTCTTACTCTGAACTCTTTCATATCTGAATAATATAAGAGATGTATAATTTATATATAACTGACTATTCAGATTGTGAATAACTGTATAAAATAATCTTCTAAGAGTTTTATTAATCTGAGATATTAAACAGTATCAGATACTTTGTCTGAAACTGTAACTACTATTCTTTTATTATCTTATAAAATAACTATAAAAAAGATCTACTAAAATCACTTAATATTTCTAATAGAATCTGATAAGATGTAGTAATTAACTTCATTATTAATCTATTTAAGAGTAAGAGTTTTAGAAACATTCTGATCATTGTAAATCAATTAAGTAAAGATATAATATTAAAATCTTATAATAAGATAAATATTAAACAAGTTACTGAAGCTTTTCTACAGAGTTTATTCTATTAAATATATAAATTACTAAGATCTATAGTATTAAATTAAGACTGTTAATTTATAAGTACTCTCTGAACAAGAATTTATCAAGTTCTTAAGATTATATATTATCTATTAACTATCTATCACTCTGAGACTGATAATACATTAGAATAGATAATTCAGATTATAAAGAATTATCTTTCTAAGTTCTATAACTACTTATAAGATGATTGATATAATCTGCTTCTACACACAGAGATTACTATTAATTAATAAGATGCTATTTTAATAAATATAAGTCTGTTCTTTCTTATATATAATTATTATATAAAGATGTTAAATCTTCTAGAGATTATATAGTTTATATCAGATCTCTGCAGTTCAATTCAGATTACTAATAATATAGTAATAAAGCTTTAAGATATCTGTAACTGAGTAGAGATCTTTATAACAACTATAAAACAAGATTAAGAGAATTAAACTAATATTCACTGAGACAGTGAGACTTCACTAAATAATATAAGATAGAAGACTTAATATAATTAAATTTTAAGAATATACAGATTATATATTTATTTTATACACTGAATTATTACTATATTAAGTATAAAGTGATAGAAGTTCTAGATAGCTATAACTATTATCTTAATATATTATCAGAAATTTATAATATTTTTTATACAAGCTTACTTTATTATACTATCACTGACATATTCTCTTCTTAACTAACTTTCAACTGACAGCTGTCAGATATTATAGAAGAAGATAATAAGCTTAAGTAAAAAATTAAAAATATTTTTAATAAGAGATTCTACAGCTGTAGCTGATAATATTTTATAAAATAAGTTAACTATAATTAACTGATCTGAACTCTGAGTTTTATATTATCTAAAACAGCAGTTCTTGACTGATAAGAACTACTTTTAAAAGAGAGAGATTAATGTAACAGACTATATCTAATTAATTATATAAACTATTCTATTATACTTTACAAATTCTTTCACTTTATTCTTGAATATGTATACTCTGATTCTCAGTTATTCTTAATTATCAATTCTCAGTTACTATAAATATGTATAGATTCTTTCACTCTGAAGCTTCACTATATATATTATTATATATATATATAAATATTTACTTTAATTACTACTTTTTATACTTTCTCTTTCTTTTTCTTCTCTAATGTTTTTCTCTTTATTATATAAGATCTATTAATATTATACTGATATATTCAGTGTAGACTTCTTATAAAATCTGTGAAGTATAATAAAATAATCTATATACTTGATCAGATGTAGCTCATCATAATAATTTTAGTATTAAATTAATTATTAATAAAATCAGTAAAGTCTTTTTCATATATAAAAATTATGATAAGAGAAGAATTATTTTATAATTAATTAAAAATTGTTTTATAATTAATTGAGAATTGATTATAGAATTAACAGTAAATAATTTAAGTGATTTCAAATTACAAGAAAAGATGTATTGTGCGAGGTCAGGTAGTGACATGAGCCACATTTGTGAGATCAGCTTACATAACGAGGTCAAGTGGCGCACTTAGCGAGGTCAAGTTTTCTGCTTCCTGAGCTTGCTAGCAACCTTTTCAATCAGGCAAGCTTTACACCTTTCACATTTTTTGCATGGAAAAGTTGGTGAAGTCATAAAATTAATCTTGCAGAGTTTTTCATCTTGAGCTTAGCTTCACAATGTCTTTGCACACAGGCTTGTGTGCATTAAGATATTTTAAAAGTGGTTTTCACTTGGTGGTTGACGGGTTCAGAGGAGAATATCTAGTTATGAGCTCCGAAGCATATAGCAGTGGCAGTGCATATATGCTTCAGTGAGTTTCAGTGCAATAGATATGCTGGAAATCGAAACGTGAATATGTACAAATGTGGCAATGACATCATGGCGAGACGAAATGGATAGGATAGGGGCCGGCACGGGCCGCACGGCTGGTTAGGCACATTTGCAGATTCTCGTGTTCCCACACCCATCATATATACAAAAAAAGGGGGGGCATAATCAGGAACGAAATGGTTTCTGTACAGAAAAGAATTGGGGGAAGAGGAAATAGCAATAAATACAAAAGATGACGTAGGTGGATGGGAAAGTGATATGGATTATATAGCTATTCAAAATAGGGGGTAAAAAAGCCTGCTGCTCAAAGCAGCCTAGTTAGTCAGCAGGGTCAACCGCTAACTACGACACCGTTTACCCTTCCTCCATCAATAAGGCCCCTTAACTCATACTGTTCTTGAAAAAGTGGCATTGACCCTCTGCCGTGACCTGACACATCATGTTCATCCCATCCCAACCCACCCCATGCCATCCAGTCAGTCCCGCGCCCTCATGTTCAGGCGGTGGTCATCACGCTGGCATTCTTATACCAATTTAACAGGGGGTTCTCGCCACTGCGCGTCTCTGTGTCCTCGACATATGCCCAGCGTTCGAGGAAGTCGGCGTGACTGGATACCCGGGTCAGCTTGCCGGTGATGGCGCGGTAGACGTCTTCCATCAGGTTGAAGTCTGTGGGGAAGAATATGTCGAAATAACCTTGGTGGACCTGGGGGGGAGACGGGTTAGTTTTACATATTATATACATATATATACAAAGGGAGGAGGGGTATTGGGGAAATAGGGTTTAAATCGAAGCGTTGAGGATCTTACAAAGGGGGTTGAGACCGGGACGGTCGTGCGTTGATATCGTGTCTGAACAACAGGGGCGTTGTAGCCAGGGGCTGCGTCCGGGAGGCTATTAAAGTCGCTTGTAACAAGTCGATGGGCAGGGAAATAGTCGTGCAGGATATCGAAGAACTGCATTAGGCGAGTGGGTATATATTCCGGCAATGTCATGTTCGGCGCAAACGGGAGGGAGGCTTGAATCTTTCTTGAAAGCGGGGAGCGGAGCGGAGTAGCGAATGGACGCCGTGCAGCGGCTTTACGAACTCGAAGGTACCTCGACGCCACACTGTCTAGTTTTGGGATGTAGTATTCGTAAAATTCACCGTCGGTGTCGATCAGGACGCAACCTTGCCGTGGCTCTCCAGTTTCTAGATCGTAGCGTATTGCATCGTGGCTGAAATTATCGAAGACCTCGAGCGCGAGGAAGAAGCAAGGGGAATGCACGTAGGTGTTCCAGTCGAATATGGAGCGGTTTATGATCTCCGCATGGCCCCTGTGGCCGCTGGAGTGAATGGACTTATTCAGATTTTGCTGCTGCAGATTAGCAAGAGATGGCGAAATCTCTATGATTTTAAATTTAGTGCGCTGATAGACCTCAGGGTCCACGTCTCGTATGTAATCCAATACGTTAAGCATCAAAGTCCCGTTTCCGGCTCCCATCTCATATATGGTCAAATCGTGGTATGGAAACAGTGTGAGCTTGTAGTTCGTGACGAGATATCGAGCTATTGCTTCGCCATAATAAGGGCGGAAGAGCTCTGTCGGCGTATGCCATAATTGGCGGCTTTCATCATATTGAACGGCATCCAATTTGTCTTCAAACTCCTGATATCGCTGGCCTAGTAGACGATTGAATTCTGGACCGTCGGCCATACTGTTGAAATCGAACGGCTCGCCAGGACTAAAAATGGTCGCGTGCTTGGAAAAGTAACCATAATGGGGATTATACAAGCTATCTATAGAAGAGGAACAGGGGTGTTAGCCAGGCAGGAAATGAATAACACCGGGATATGCGGCGGCGCCATCAACCAACCCTCAATGAAGTCCCTTGCCAGCATCTTCACACGTCTTGGTCGATGAGGACGTGATCGCAGCTCTGCAGATGTCACCATCGGATACTCCCGCAACTCCTTGGACATGTCTCTCGGGAAATCATCTGTCCTGTGTTTCCAGAAGGTAGGGTCCTCCAGCGTCCGCCGTCTGAGTGTCGGCTTGCTGGCATAAGTGCGAGATTGCTGATGACTTCTGGAACGGGGCGCAATGGGATTAAACGAAAGAACATAAGGATGCGGACGAGAAATCTGGCATCCTCTATGGCGAAACAACTGCCGGAATATGTGCGCGACAACGGGTGAATCCATTGCGTTGGCAGGGCGGGCGCTCAACGAAGCAGAGCGGAGAGGCGATAGGGGAGTTGTGTCCAGGAAATCCGAAAAAGTTCGCCCGGAGCGGAGGTGGTCCAAGCTTCAACAGGGCATGACAAACAAATCATACCAACTTTTCAATGGCTAATGTGCAACAGGGGATATATATGACTTCTTTTTCTCCTTTGCATTGAATATATGTACAAATGATACCAGCCTTGTGTGCTCATAAATCATGACGGACAACCCGCGCCTCTATATACCCGCCGCTTTCCTTACGGGTGCGCTTCTCGCCTTAGGGATCAGAGATGTATATCCCTATCTTGAGCGCCACTACCAGCAACAGAGGCGAAAAGGTCGCGAAAATACACAGAATGAACAGCATGGGTTTGAAGGTATAGAAATCAAAAATGGTGACATGACTGGTGACATGAGCCGTGGCCTACGGTGCAACCCTAAACCTCCTCCGATTGTCGATGGGATTGAAGGTTGTATTGGAAATACACCACTATTTAGGATAAAATCTCTCTCCGAAGCTACGGGATGTGAGATTCTTGCAAAGGCTGAGGTATGTATTGAAATCAATTGCTATCACATTTATATTCAGATTGTGTATTTTTAACTCTCTGACACTACTCATTTAGTTTCTCAATGGCGCCGGAGGAAGTCCTAAAGATCGAGTGGCACTGAGTATTATACAGACGGTCAGTTCTGAAAACAACCCCCATATAACACCATTCTATACCCTGACTCCTCATTCAGGCAGAAGAGAACGGTCTGCTCCATCCTTACTCTGGAGACGCCATCTACGAAGGCACTGTGGGATCTACGGGCATTTCACTCGCTACGCTAGCCAGAGCCAGGGGTTACTTAGCACATATGTATGGTTTACCTGTAACATCTTGGTCAATTGCTTATCCTCTATATCTATATATAGAGCGATCACGTTCATATATTAATACTGGAAAACCCTATAGATGCATGCCGTCCGACCAATCCACAGAGAAGTCGAATCTCCTGCTCAAACTAGGTGCCATAGTAGACCGTGTACCGCCAGCCCCAATTGTAGAAACAGGACATTTCGTAAACAGAGCGCGTGCGCTCGCAAAATCTCACTCTCCGTCCCCAGAATCATCTCTAACACGCACTTCGTCGACTCCTAGCCATCATCGTCATCAAACGCATGAAATAACCGAAACGCCAGATGAAGATTTGCTGGCGTCGCGAGCTGCTGGGAAACAAGGTCGAGGCTTCTTCGCCGACCAATTTGAAAACCCCGCTAATTGGCAGGCCCACTATCGAACGACTGGTCCAGAGATTTTCGCCCAGTGCGAGGGCAAATTAGATGCATTCGTTGCTGGTGCGGGCACCGGCGGCACTATATCAGGCGTCGCACTCTTCCTTAAACCTCGTCTTCCCAATATGTCTGTCGTGCTGGCGGATCCGCAAGGAAGCGGGCTCTTTAACCGCGTCCGTTATGGGGTTATGTTTGACGTGAAAGAGCGCGAGGGAACGCGGAGGAGGAGACAGGTGGACACTATTGTTGAAGGTATCGGCATTAACCGTGTTACCGTAAACTTTGAGGCTGGGAGGGAGTTGGTCGATGATGCTGTTAGGGTCACGGACGCCCAGGCTATTGCGATGGCGAGGTGGTTGGTGGAGAAGGACGGTATTTTTATCGGAAGTAGCAGCGCGGTTAATTGTATGTGTTCTCGCTAAACCACGATTCTCTCCTTCTTAGGATAGTGACTAACTTAGATTTTGAATCTAGGCTTCGCAGCAGTTAAGACAGCTTTGAAGCTCGGACCCGGGCATAGGATCGTGACCATACTTTGCGATTCAGGGACACGGCATTTATCGAAGTTCTGGGAAAAAGCTGGCAATGTGGGGAGTGCTGTTGACACTAAACTTGAAGACGTCCTCAATGCAAAGGGGGACGAATAATAGCTGGTATATATGTATAAAATAAATATTCCAGAATGGTTCGATCATATATAGAGGGTATTTTTCCTTTTCTTCTCAAATCCACTATCTGGATCAAGTTGAGCCGGACCGATCAACCCAGGGCGAGTTCTTAACCATCGGAAAGCTCTGTCTCTTCTGCGGATTGCGAGGCTTGGGGGGTGTGTCGATTTGGATCGCCGACAAGCCTGATCCCGGCCAAGCTGAAGCAAAAGCCTGTGAGAAAGGATCATCACTGTCTGAACTTTCATCAACTAGTTTTGGTGGTTCGGTAGGAAAAACGGACCGCTTCCGCGGTGTCCGTGAAGGTGTGGTTATTTGAACAGTCTCTGAAAGCTTCGTTGGTGAGGGTGATTTTGCGGTTAGCCGTCTTTTGGGTAGTTTGGGCGGTGTCATGAAATCTCCGTCTTGACGCTGAGCATGTAAATAATGGGAGTTTTTCCAGTCCTCCCACATTTCCCCGAGGCACATCTCAGCCCATTTACACTTTATCTCATTTCTCGTTTGATTTTCCAATACGGCTTCCAAGTCTTCCCATGTTACATCAGATTTTGACTTGAAAGCCTCGAGTTGATCCTTCTCTTTAGCCGTTAAAGGTATCAGTGATTGTGGGCAGTTTTTGATATCAGTAGACTGGACATAGTACCACTGTCTCAACTGACCGGAGGTCCTGTTGGGTACGGATCGGGACACCTCTTTCCATGGGAGCTTCTGAACTACTCTTTGAGTTAAGATTATTTGTATTTCACTGGGTGTGAAAGGGTTGATTGCGGCGCTCAGTTTCGTTTCCTGTTGGGATATGGCTCTATGTGTCATTGACTGGGACTCTTCTAAAGGTATACCACCATCTGGGGCAGCCAGTATCTCATTCTCTATAGCACCATTCTCTTGCAGTAACGGTGATTCCACAGATACTTTCCGGTTGCGTTTGGCGGGGGTCGGGGTTGATGTTTCTGGAGTCCCTTTCTCTGGCTGCTGATCATTTTTCTCTTCCGCGCTTAGGACATGCTCTGACAATGGAGGGGAAGGCTCAACGGGAGCCATAGGTTCTTCCGCGATTGGCGATGGCGTGTCAATGACATTCTTAGCTTCATCAGTGATATTAATTTTGGGTGGTGTGGAAAGTGAAGGTAAGGTGTTTTGCAAAGGGTCATCCGAATCCGAATCCGAAACACGTCCAGAGCTTCCGGGCCTTGACGGTAATCGTACTTTTAGCGCTCTGTGAGGTTTACCACCGTTTGTGCGTTGCGATTTCTTTCGACGAGTCTGCGGGAGTGCCCATAGAGATCCAGAATTTGGTGGCGAAGCTGTTCGGTTCCTTGGAAAAGTCGGAGGCGCGGCGGGGACTGGGGAAGATCCAAAAAGTCGCTCATCGATTTCTGGAGTTTGCCAGCAGGGGTCTACAGAACGCGAGCTTGGCTTTGGGTGTCCTTGGTCAAAATCGGTCTGGCTTCCGCCGGAAAGTTCGATATGGTCGCTATAACTTCCGGGAGCAAAGTCAAAACTCATATGATTTCTTGAGAATGGTCTTTCAAGATCTGTAGGTTTTCCATTTTGGTTCATCCATTTTCCTATCGGGGCGTCTGGGGTTTCAGCGACATTTTCCGTAACGAACTCAGGTTCACCAAGGGGGTCGAAATCGTATTTCCACGGCTGCGCACCAAGGTCTTGTTCATTTGTCATCCTTTCAATATGCCCATTGTCAATGACGATATTGCCCGTCGCCAAGTCAATCTCGTCCCCGACAGAGCTGAAGTCCTTTCCATATTTTTCAAATATGTCTTCAAAACGAGACTTCAATCGCATATCATTTGCTTGACGCGCCGCGCTGATATCTATCTCGGATGTTGCGTCACCCACATTTGAGTCCCAGAGCCCAGGTATACGCGCCCGCTTAGTTGGTCTCTCCGTATTGAACATCTTGATGATGTTTGGGGTTGAGCGAGCGCGGAAAGAGTAGGCAGAGCACAAGGTTTGTCAATGCCGGGCAAAATGAGATGATATACTCTAAGAGCAAACGGCAAATATGGTAGCGATTGCTCGCGACAGAGACTGTCTTCCGTGTGATTCTATCACAGTAGGGTCGTTACGGCAAGTAGGGTTGGTTTTGGTATTTGCAGTTCGAGGCGAACAGCCTTGATTCACTCGTGGAAAATACGAAATTTTCGTAAATGCCCGCGAGGGTTCGAGAACCACGGAGGTTATAATTTTTACAAGGCTAACTTGGCTGCCGTGGTTTGTCAATTAAAAGCGTTGTTTGCAAGGAGTTTTCGAATTAAGCTTCGCGAAACCTTTTTTTAAGCGCTTAACGCCCGCCGTATCTAACTTAATCTGGTTACTCCAGAGCTCTGCCTCGGGATAGACTAGCGCCATCAGCTGCCAACCGTGAATCGTCCACCACCCGTGGACACTTCCATGATAACATATGACTCGAATGACGGGGGGTAGAGCTTGAACCTAGCTTCTAAAAGCCTCCATAACGCCCGTTGATGTTCGACTTCGGCCATGATCTTTGAGATCTGTCGATCCCGCATCCATGTACTGCCAGAATTGCCGTACTGCTCTCAAGGTCGATGGTTCTCTTGAGGACCTGAACCCAGCTGCCTTCGACCTACTCATAGGTCAGTGCTTAGATTCCAAGTGACTTATTCCAAATCTGACTTGTATCAGGCTCGACCGGGAAGTCATTACCTGACCCATCCACCAAATCTACGTCACGCCCTAAGTACCCTCAAGATCGGCAACAACTCTACTCTCAAGTGTCGCGACGAGCTACGTCCCCTGTTTATAAGAGAACCTTACCCGCACCACAATATGGCACAGGAGGCTCAGTTGGGGCGCCCCGGGCAGTGGTGAAAGATGGTGGCATGTCTTTTGTCATGCTAAGCGAGTCTCAATTGGTCCCTCCCCATGCTGTTCCAGCCATAAACGGTGACGGTCAACGGCCAGCAAAAGGAAGTCTACAGAGCTTGTCTGAGGCCCAGGCGACAGAACATGGGTCTCAGACCTATTCGCACCAAATCGAGAAGACCACCCGTCTTTTCGAGATAATTTCTGCGCGTTCTGATATCGATCACCCCATCTGCACCGAATGCACTGATATGCTCATCGAAGGGCTTCAGAAGAGATTGCAGACTGCAACAAAAGAGCGAGACGCATATATCTCATTTTTAAAGAATTTGAATAATTCCATTCCATCGCTAGATGAAGTGGAGGCGGCGGAAGATGATCTTAAGGCAACCCTACAAGCCGAGGAAGAAGCGTTTCAGGAGCTTCTTACCCTGGAAGCGGAAAAAGCTGCTGTTGACTTGGAGATTGCAGGACTGGAGGAGGAGTCCCGTCAACTTGACCTAGAAGAGGAACAGTTCTGGAGTGATCGCAATGCCTTTGCATTAACACTATCTGAGTTCCAGAATGAACGCGATGCTTTGAACATGAAGTACGATCATGATTCTCGGCAACTTGAACGCCTTCAGCGGACGAATGTCTATAACGACACTTTCTGCATCGGACATGATGGATATTTTGGCACCATCAATGGACTGCGCCTTGGTCGTCTCGCGAATCCGTCCGTCGAGTGGTCCGAAATAAATGCTGCCTGGGGTCAAACGCTTCTCCTGCTTGCTACTGTCGCCGACAAACTAGGCTTTCAATTTCAAGGGTACAAATTAAAACCTTTGGGGTCTACATCAAAGATCGAAAAGATAGAATACCCCCAGCAGTCTCCAAATGCTACCCCATCTCGCCGAGACTCTTCAACCAATCGTCCCGAAGCAACCATCAGTCCAAAGATAACATCATTGGATCTATATTCTTCTGGCGATCTTCCTTTGCACCTCCCGTGGCTCCACCGTCGCTTTGATGCCGGTATGGTTGCTTTCCTCGAGTGTTTGCGCCAACTAGGCGAGCATGTGGAGAACACACCGGTATCGTTGCCTTCCCGTTCACCACCCCCTCATCGACACTCCCGATATCAACCCCCGGGAGAACCTTCGCCGGCGACTCGTGCTCTCCAGGCACAGATTTCGGGTCTCAAACTACCATACGAGATCAAGCGGGATAAAATTGGAGATGCGAGCATCAAGCTTGGCTTCAACCAAAACGATGAAACATGGACGCGCGCTTGCAAGTATACACTCACCTGCTGTAAGTTTTTGCTGGCGCACGCGAGCAATGTCACAAGTGCCGGGTCTGGAAGTTCGCATGTACCACCAACAGCAGCGATTGTGCCGAGCCGTTGAGAGCAAAATCTTGTAAAGCATTAGGCTAGGAAAGCATACGGACCCTCAACATCGACGAAATTTTTTATCTAGTACTTGGTGAACGAACAGAAGCAAGATAAGCCTTTGCCGCCCCGAAGATTAATTGGTATGGGGAATATACATCAGGAGGCTTTACGGTGTAACTACGAGAAGAAATATTGACAGGGAAATCGATCTATGTCGATCGGGTCAACCCAGTTCTTCATCTTCGGAATGCTCTTCCCACCTGATTCCGGAAAAGGCCGCTCTTCGCTCAATCAGGCTGGTCATATATTGCTCTAATCAGAAACTTACTCTATATTTCAACATTTCCCCCCCAAGACCCAATAGCTTTTCTATAAGCTTGCTACTATCCCCCAAGAAGAAATTCCACACCAAGGCCCCACAATATGGAGGAAACCCGGATTTCTTCACGCTACGGCTGCTATCCATAAGTTTCTGACTTTGCAGTAGCGGCGTTAAAGGCGCACGAAGAGAGACACGTTCATTCCTGGCATTTCGTCTCTCTCAACACCTATATCTCTAAAGGTACGAAATCTGGAGGTGAAGAGAGAGCTTAGCAATGCGCTTCAAGTAAGAGACAGAACCAGGCGAAAAATTGGCGGTGAAAAAAGGAATGTTGAGCGGGTGCGTACATATGGGTAGGATGTATGTCGAGTCATAGCTACGTCCGTTAAGGTGGTTCGGCCCGGCCCCCTTTTTCACCATTAAACCAGTATATTCGACCAGAAGGCGTCGCTCCTGTTAGAATTTGGGATTTGGCGATGTGATCCATAACGAACTTACATTTTAATATCTAAGAGAGAAAAGAAGGTTGAGAATGCGGAAACATTTCATGGTGCGGAGTCTTTTGTTATCTACATGTAGTATAAAATCTCGCCAGGCATGAAATTTCCCATCCACGGGTGAAAGAGAAAAGGGCTGGCCCAGATGGGTCTTACGCAACAGTTTATCAATGCTGCTTTCCCTTTTGGCGAGATGTTCCAGAGAAAACTGAAGCCTGCTCCCCGAATTAAATATACATGGCTCCAGAACTATGGCCACATCCAGTGTTAGCAACTCTGGTGTCCTTGCACATACAATTACCTTAGTTCGGGGCATTTATTGCGGCTAAACCTTCTAGAGCCATCAAACGCCATCCGCAGCAGAAGCTCGACCGGTATGGTACCAACAGACCAAGGCATTTTTCGGCTGTCTTTTGCAGCAGCAGCGCTGAGATTGGGGTGTTGTTGGCTAACTAACGTTAACTAGTTAAATAACTTTATCACCACTGGCTCGGGCCAATTTATCTCGCTGCCTCAACTGCTCCTCTTATTCCCTAGGCAACCAGGCCGGTCTTGGGATCATGCCATTGTGATGGTTTTCAAAATACAACTCCGCTGTCAAAACGGGGGTGCCTGTCATTCTGTGTAGTTCCAAGCCAATCTCCGCTATGAAGGCTTCTCAGGGGTTGGCGTGGCCGCATGGAAAGGAGCCTACTCTACTTGCTCAATAATAGTGGCGCAATGCCTAGCCACCATGGAGGTGGAGCGAAATCGTGGAGAACTCATGGCGGATCTCAAGAGAGAATTGAGCTGCCTATATCCTCCGCCGCAGCAACACACGTCGCATCGAGGCCAATATGACAAAGTCTTAGGTGGCAACTTCTAGCATATATATATATATAACGGGCTCGAGGCTCTTAATTGCTCTCGATGGTTCCCCTTCTCTTCTCTAACAGCTCTTCTGGATCAAATATCTGCGTTCTTTATACCGACGATGGTAAACTTCAACCTTTCTAGATTACCATACGTTGGCCGGTTTGTCAAAGATAGTAGCTATTGCCGGTGCCTTATGTTGGGACAAGATAATGCAGGGAAAACTACCCTTCTACACAGACTCCAGCTGGGAAGAAAAGTTGATACCATCCCGACAGTGTTGTACACCTCTAATAGTGAGTTTTGCCGCATTCTGCGATTCCCATTTAGGCAATCTTTGAAAACTCACAGCTCACCATTGAGAAATACAGTTGAAACGGTCCAGGTACCTTCGGAAAAAATCAATATCACGTTCTGGGACCTAGGAGGTTTGTCTCCCTTTCCTGAACTGAATATGGATTTTGGAAACTGTCTTCGTGAATTTCAGTCTCTATTCGATACTGAGTTCGTTGAATGTCGCAGAGCGTAATCTATGTTGATACGGAGTTAATCTCGGTTGTATACAGGTGGCTGTTCGCGGATTCCACCCCAACTCTTCCGATATTATCTGGATCCAGAAATCTTGGTTTTGTTTTTGATTGATCCTACGGTGATCTTTTGTCCAAATGACGGCGCTAGAAGAGCGCAAGATGCCATTGAAGAGCTGAAGTTTGCTCTAACAGAAATAGTCGGGGCTAAGTATTTAGCAGTGATATTTACAAAGCGCGACCAAACACGCGGCGATGATCCTCGAGTCGAGCTTCAAATTTCATTGGTGAAGCAGGTCCTCGCCGAGCATAGGACCAAGGTGCCATATCCATGCGAGCTTTATGATGACCTAGAGCAACTTAGCGCAGCTACAGGCGCGCAGACAGATATTCTGCTAACAAGGCTTGCCCGCGTCGCCAAAATGGAGGAGAAGGCGATGAGAGATTTCCTGATGAAAAAGACAGCCCCGTCTCCTTCACCCAAGCCAAACCTACCCAAGCTCTCAAGAGAGGAGCTGTTGGTGAAGATAGATAGCGGCTCCAAAGATGCGGATAACTTGCTAGGTCCAGATGAATTTATGAGGCGGATGGTTTCAGGGGATTTAGAAAAATGGGACCATCAGTTCCATTTGCGTGCTGGGTTTTTAACGCTTACAGAACGCATTCTCAGGGAGAACGTTGTATTCGACGCAGCTGACTTATTTCTTGAGCGACTAGATCTGATGCTGAAGGCTGTGCCGGGAAAGTTTCAGAATACTTCACATCGGTAGGCATCTGAGTCCATCCCGTACTTATAATGTTATTGGTATCCGGTCTACGGGCACCTATTTGAATGGACTTATCTGACGAATGAACCTTTATCTGTTTATTAGGACGTTGACGATATTCTGGCTGCATCAAATCTATCTTGCCATGCTCTCTTTTCGCGAAAGAGCGGGATCATTCCCTGCCAGGGAGAAATTCAATGAATTTCTCCTGGAGAACCCCGATCTCATGCATGGCCGTTCATGGGACTTGTATTATTCCAAGGATGTTTTGTTCAGTCCGGCGGCGAAAGATGGCTGGAAACTGCCTGACATCCGACCCCTTCCGCGATATATATCGCGTCGAGTAGAGAGCCAACAACCCACTACTCCAAATCACGAGAAGAACAAAGCCATATCCGTCCAATACCAGACACGCCTAAACACCACAACCCCGGAGATCCTCAAACGTTTCTCCTTCGCAACTCTCAAGGCGATGAAATTGACCAACCGCCGTCGAGCTGCCGTCATTAACGAAACTATGCCTGTTCTGCAGTCGCAAATAATACGTCTTCGAGCCGCGTTCTTAACAACCCCATCACCATCACGGTCTGCCAATTCTACAATAAACATAGACCCTTATTCCGTTACCCAAGCCTACTTCTGGATCCAGATGCTACACGCAGCCATAGAGTCCGTCCCTGCCAGCTCAGGGCTTGACATCCGAAACATAACCTTCGAAAGCTTCCGCGTCCTCTTCCCCGAACTCCTTGCGGAAGATGATATTTGGAAGCAGTACTATACCGAAGAACGATGGACCAGCATCAAGGGGCGTACGTGCACGGTATTACCCGACTTAAAACCGCTCCCGAACGTGTTGCAAGCCCCTTCGCAATCCCATGTTCGGCAGGCTGTAGCTTCGACGCTCGACGAGAAGTACTCGTATTCATCATTCTCGACATCGCTATATAGCTATGGTCGACCAAGTGTGGAGGAGCTGTTTCTCGAAGTGCGCTGGGCAGTGAGGGAAGCGCGCGAGTGTGGGAGCAGTTATTCTGCAATTCCCAGCACGCATGCCATGCTCATTTATCGCATCTTTACCCGAATGTTGGACAGAAGAACTATATCGCTATCCAGCGCGGCGTGGGATGCAGTGTCGTTCCTCCACCACCAACAACAACAGCCAAAGCAAGCCAAATCACAAGAATATGAAAAAGAACACCATCACCATCACTATGACCACCCGCCCTCTCCACAAAACTTCACGGCAGCAGTCTTCTGGTCCAATATAGTTCTGCGTGCATTTTTCGAGACCGATAACTCATCCCCCTTCCATTCAAGATACATCAGTTCTGCCTCTGCCACTCACCATACGACATCTTCGCAGCAGGTAACGTTGCGGGCGCAATTCTTCGAGGAGTTCCTCCAAGCCAATCCGGAGTTGTGCTGGGAGGGTTTGTGGCGCTTGTATTATTCGGATGAGTTGTGGAGGAGCGAGGATGCCAGAACTATGTATGTAGTGCCGGACCGGAGGGGGATTCCTGCATTTGTGGAGAATGGAACTGGGGGTGGAACGATGGAGAAGGAGGTAGAGGTAGAATTGGAAGCAGAGAAGGAGAAGGAAGAGAATGTGGTGTTGGAAGGCGGATGGGAGGTTGTGGGTGAATGATGATTCGAGTGGAATGTACATGTATGTACAGTACATACTATTGACTGTTCGTCGTTACTAAAATTTAAGGGAGAAAGTTTCGTGCGCTGGAAATCATAAGTATTCAGTGCTCAGATATATTCATGAATTGAAGAACCTGATATATTTCCTGTGCCCTAGGATGGCAGTCCAATGGACACCTTTCATCAAGTGTTTTTAATTATTCTGCGGGGATCATCGTGGAAAAAGAACCTAAATGTTTGTGATACTACAGGTAGGTAGGTAGGGCAAGGCGCTTCGTAAGAAGAAAAATAGAGAGAAAAGAAATATCAAAAATATTTGAAAGACACTGAATTTCCTGGATTACTTCCAGCCGGCTTTCATCATCTCACGTTCTCTGTGATGGCTTCTAACATACATACCTAGGCATCTAGGCACCTAATAAATACCACATGTAGTAGGGGGGGTAAACTAAAACTTATGAAAGAGGGAAAGGAGACGCGTAGATAGACATGACGCATATAAGAATGATTACAAAGCCAGGGGATATTGGGCTGGGGCCTGGGGGACGGGACGACAAGGATAAACAGAAGCCCAAAAAAACGCCGAAAATATGTAAGTTTGAAAGAAATAGATTAAGAGAAAAGACAAGGGCCAATTCCGGGCTTAGCTACCCACTACACCGAAAAGAGAGATAGAGAGAGTAGAAAGGAATAGAAAAGAAACGAAAAGCTGGCTTAGCCCCTGAGGCCCTCCCAAATCAAACCCATTTAAAGAGGCCAGAAACTATCAAATCGGGTAATATATTAAATTTTATTTTTTTCAATCAATCTCAAGAATAGAAAGTACTCTTCTGGAAGCTCTCAGGGGAAACATCTCCCATCTTGCCATTAATCACGGGCTTGGCATTGGCTGCCTTCAGGCTATTTGCCCGCTGCTTCAGCTGCTCGTCGGCGGCAGCACCCCCAGCGCCTAACAGGGTATTACTCCTGGACGCAGATAGAGACGATGGCGCAGACGCGGCATTAGCACCCGCTGTGATAGCCTGTTGCTGCGGTTTTCGCTGGATGGTTTCTAAGTAAGGGCTTGGTAGGTATCCGACGGTACCATCACGGGCCCTGCACCGCCACCACTCTGACGGGTTCCCCATGGGATCCGATCTACTAAGGACAGCGACGAGATCGCCCTTTTTCACGGCAAGGTCGACGCCGGCGGTGTTCTGGGATTCGGGGGTGTAGTCGTACATGACGCGGCAGAAGTCGAGTTTCGAGGGGTCAATGGCATTTTGTTGTAGATTGCCCGGGAGCGGTTCGCCGTTCGGGCCGATCATCATGTTGCGCTTGGCTTCGAGTTCTTGTGAGCGGGCGAGCGTGCGGATGAGCTTGCCCATGAGGTAGGGGAGGCCAAAGACGGCGACGAGGAAGAAGAAGAAGGGCTTCTTGGAGGGGCGGGGAGGGGCTGAGGAGCCGTCGGGGAGGGTAGACGGCCTCTGGCCCTTTCCTGTGAAAGCGGCAAATGAGGATGGGGTGAGTGATGTGGCGTCCGCGGGAGGTGGGCGGCCGGTGAGTTTTGCGATGAGAGTTCTGAACCATCTGAGGATAGTAAAGATACCTAGAACGGACCCTAGGGTATTTCGTAGGTTGCCAAACTGCTCTGCAACGGATACCATGGCTAGAAGAGTTTCCCGTTAGCCAGGGGTCTATAAATTTATTACCCACAAATTAAAGGGAATCAGGAAGACATACCAAAAAAGGAGCTATGGGTTGCCATGTAGGTGCTCTCCAGCATCTGCGCAAACCCTCCAAATGCACCCACAATACTCTCAATGAGCTGGAATGTAGCTTGCGTACTCTGATTAAAGGAGTTTGTCAAGCTGTTTGGGTCTCCGCCTGGTGGCATACCGCCGTACATGCCACCGTATCCACCCATGCCACCCATTCCACCATACATACCCCCGTATCCTCCCCCATATCCGCCATACATCGATCCCATACCCCCTAGTCGCGAGTATGGCGATGAGTAGCTATTATAACCGCCATAAGTACTCCCATATGGGCTTTGGCCTAGTCGCGACGCACCATATGGGGAATAATTCGATGCCGTCTGGTTAACGACAGAATTAAGGGAGGTAGGTCGTGAAGGGAGATCTGGGGCAGAGGAGGTGGTCGTTGAGGGAGAGGTGGAGGAGGTAGTAGAAGTATTGTTGGGTAGAGGGCCTGCCACCGCGGAAGCTGTTCATCCCGCAATAAAGAAAAAACTGTTAGCCACGCATTGCCTCTAGGTAGAGCGTAGAGATAGGCAACAAGCCAAAAACGAATTCTTTCCTCTCGGGGGGGGTTTGGAAGAGACAATGGAAACTTACCAGCAGCGACAGCACCCGCGCCGGCTCTCTCCCACGGCTTTGGTGGCGAAACCGATGCCATTCGTGCTACGTCTACACGCACTCACGGCTTGTGAAAACCTCTATGTCACCACTCGGTAGTAGTCGATGATACAAGACGGCCTCTCTATATCGTGGACTCGGGGTGGAAGCGATGTTTGGGGAAGAGCGCCAAGCTCGGTAGGTAGCTCTGCAGCACCAAGGAGAAGGGCGTATTGGCAGGAAAGATCCGAAAAGAGCTTGTAAAACGCCGGCTTTCTTGACTCGAGATTCCGGGAATGATGGTGCGCCGCTGCGCGGGAAGTAGACAGTTTGACGTGGAGGGTGGAATGAATATTTGGAAGATGCAGAAAAGCTGGAGGAGATGTTTTTGCCCACGAATGCGCGTTTGGCCGAGGATGGGGAGGCGGGATGAGTCAGCAGGGCGGGGCGGGGAGAGATTTTCGGGAGCTTGCGAGCCGAGGATGTTGACGGCCGACGGGGAAGACCATATTGGAGGAGGTAGGTGTATCGAAGACGCAGGGAATAAATGGATGTATAGAGAGGATAATAGTTACTAATATGCATTGTTGGGTCTGTCAATCAACGCCGCACATGCTGCATATATATCGTTATATTGGTTTATAACGTCCTTCACACCCGCCGTCAGGTGCAATTCTTCGCTGGTTCTTCCTGGAAAATCGCAGCCTCAGATCACATGTCGCGCCGCCACCCAGCAACTTTTAACCTGATAGCATCTGAAAGTTGCCATACGAGGGGTGATAGCCAGGATGCGCTTGATACAGGGTTAAAGGAGGCCTTGAAAAATATATTGGGCTAAAACTATTCGCGGCGATGATATATCCGATGTCTTTCCACTATTGGACTACAAGGGGAATCTTCGACGTCCCTCCAGGTGAGGATATCCTAACTCCTCAAACCTTACTCCAACACATGAAAAATGACAAGGCTAATAGCACGGATATGGCAGGGAGGGATAAAATGAGTAATACCCCTTGACGACGGAAGTTACCCACTCCTTAGCTCTACAAATGAATAGAAAGTTCCACATGTCTATGGGAAATAGGGTTTACGGCCGAAGCGTCGAAGTAGAAAAAATAGGTAAGTAGGCATTATAAGGTTTACTCTAAAAAACCTCAGAATGAAAATGAGGGAGGAAAATGTTGCGAACAATTAATTGTGGATGGAGAAACCCGGGTGGTGAAGAATTTTATAAGGAATCAAAAAATAGAATATATATATATACATATATAAAATATAAGAACTGTCCAATATAATGCTCCAACGCCTGGTGCTACATACTCCATGTACTCGTACAGCTATACGTGTTGTGGAAAGTTGTCGGTAGTACGTATATATGCATCAACAACAGAGACAACAAAAGTAACAAGACACATGTGTCTAATTTTGGCTTCTCGCCGCTATATTGCCCCTATGGAAGGGAACTTGGAAGAAAAATGACTGACGGGGTATGTGATAATGATAGCACAATGTTCCATTTCAGACTGCAACAATGGACATTTACTCCATACATATTTGTATATGAGCTCGTCCAGTGCACTTCTAGAGTTCATCGCGACGGGGGAAACGGAATTCCCACGAACGGGGAGGGACGGGGACTCCAAGCCAGAAATTCCACAACCGGCTGAGCTCCATGATGAGGATTTTCCATCTGCATCTCACATTAGATACGTTACTGTGAGTTGTCTCTGCGGTGGGTTGAGAAAAGGATATGGTGTTGCTAACTTACGCTATACCAGGAAACTTAATCCAACCATTAAGCACATATAAATACGTCCGCCACACCACTTCGAATTCCTCTCGGAAAACATCCATGATACTATCTTCTTGCTTTTCCTTTGTATAGCCGGGATTAGAAGTTGTCCTCTGCGCCCACTCGTCATCATCGTCCTCTAGATCCTCTACCGAGAGTCGCTTGTGATCTTGCTTCTGATCTTTGCGCGATGGATTAACCTTCTCCTCGCCCTGGCCATCACCTTTGTCAGATTTAGGCCCAGCAGGCGAGAGTGGAGAGGCCTTCGGGAGGGTCGTATGAACAGGCAGGTTACCCTCTGTGCCAGATACTATCGCTTGCTCAAAGTTCTGCACAGCAGTGATACTATGCGATACCCGCCCAAGCGTATTGATAAGAGCCACCAACTCTGTTCGCCGCAGAGGCGGGTTTTCGCCGTTCTTCGTCTCGTCAAATTCGAACAAGATCTTCAGCGCCGCGCCGTACCCAGCGGTCTGCAACTTACCCCATAGTCGACACTTGTCACAGCCAATGCAGTCCATGAGCCGACTGACATTGCGGAAGCGGTTGCGGAAATCCTCCTTGAGGCCATTGGCAGCCTCATCGCGGAACATGGTGGTCTCGTCGAAGATCTTTGGCTGGGATGAAACAGTGTCGGCAAGTGAGAGGACCTTCACCCTCGTATCGAAATCCTGTGGCGGATCACTGTTACAGAAAGAGTATGCTTGTAGAAGCTTTTGGATCTTGGACACGGCGCGAACAAGGACCGCGAAGTTGAAGTAAAGGTTCGAGATACGCTCCGGGTGGTCGTGGAGACGTTCCCTGTAGCATTGGACATTGGGAAGCCACTGTCCGGTTTTTTGATTGAAGTAGTCCCAGCACAAATGTGTCGAGATGGATGCATGCATGCCGCTGATTATTCTGTGGAAGACCCGCTTCTCTATGCACTCATCGTCTAGAGGATAGGGCTCATTCCGCGACGCAGCGGTGACAACTTGGTATCGTCCATGCTTGTCTAGGACACTCTTGAAATCCTTCGCCGCCTGGAGATTACTAAGCGGGGAATTACGGGACGATTGAGGTTGTGACTTGGGGAGTGGCTTCAAGAAGCAATTCTCCCTATATATCGCATCCCAGACATGCCTTGCCCCTTCACCCCCGTAACCCGTAAATCTCTCAGGATTATCCAGTAAACTAACGTAATCTCCTTTCGCCGTCGCGCCCTCGTCCTCTGGAACACAGTAGTCGCGTTGATCGCACTCGTCATCATACTCGACAACACAGGACTCCCCAACGTCCTCGCCTAGCATACCTTGGAGTGGTTTCTCCTTTGGCCGTTCCTGCTGGAGTTTTTTTCCCGGATGTCCCGCCTTGGGGCCTTCCAGCTTGCTCAGCTCCTCTGCACGCCAGATGGGAGGAATATCATCTTCTGAATCCAAAATGTTAACGGCGCAAGCAATATTCCCGCACATTCCCACATCGTCAGACCAGAATGGGCATTGTTTGTTAAACAGGTTCAGACGGTAATAAGAGAAAAAGTCTGTATCGTGAGTGATGGATTGGACGAGCGGGGCGATTTTGTCGTTGACAGCATCGAGGGTGGCGAAGGAAGCGCAAGCATCTGTCACGGTTGCTTTTGGGTCGATCTGCTCGAAGGAAGGCTTGTTAAACATTTTATTCTCTTTCATGAGAGGGATTCATTGCAGCCAGAATACGTCAACTTACCGCACAAGCACTAGGAGGGTGAGCTCTTGCTTTAGAAGCATGGCTGTCCGCTCTAACTGGGCTTAACCAGGTAAAGACTGCCAAGTAGAATAGTTGAGAAGCGGAACGCATCGTTTGTTGTTCCTGAGGATGTGTGTTTAAGTGTTGGCTACTTCATAAGGATAACGGCCAGGTGTGCAGTGTATATATCTAAGCTGTGTGAGCTGATTGATTACCAATCCGTCTGGGTTGAGTAGGATATGAAACGAAAGCTTTTGTAGAATCTCTATAGTTTTCAAACGAAAGACAAGAATGGATGGAATTAAGTAGATCAGGAACGAGAAGTATTTAAAATAAAAGGGAGCGTATGCTGTGTGGATAGTTGGTCTTTAGTAAATATACAACTTCAAAAGTTGGTTGGTATAGGAAGGTAAGTGACCAACATGCCAAAGTAAGGACATGGAAAATGAGAAAACACAGAAACGGCTAGAAGCCACCTGTCAACTGCCCTGGTTTTCACCCTTTTTCCGTCCTAGCACAGAGATAGATTGTTATGTCGCGATATCAACAAGATTGCAAGGTGGCCGCAGATCTACAACGAACGGCAGCGATGCGAGCTTACTAAGCAATCAGATTAACTCTGTTAGCGGAATCGCGGGGATTGAACCTTCCAAGGTTCCAAATGATCTGATCAGTCATGTGACATCATCTCCCCCCTTTTACAAAGGCAGGTTCTATCTTGTAGGCTACTTGGGCAAAAGAGCTCAGTCACCACCAGCGCACTGCTGGTAGAAGGGCCGATCAACCCGGGACCCCCAACATATCTTGATAGCATGGAATGATCTCCAGGGACAGAACGGACATGGTTAATATAGAGAGGAATTTATTCAGTATGACACTGGCATAGATCATAATTACATGAACCCACCCACCCACACATTAACTAGCAACTCAAACAATACATGGTAAGTAACGGAGTAACAACCCTCACAGTTTTGCCGGAGTCCCCTTCTCCTGGGTCGCCTGCCACCCAAACTGTATCGACTGCCCAATCCCTGGCTCCACAATCACATTGACAATCGTAACCTTCTCATCCTCCAAAAACCCTTCCCTTGTCGCCTTCTCCAGCTCCTCCTCTGTCCGCACAAAGTATCCCCGCCCGCCGCACATCGCCGCAAGATGTTCGTAGCGCGTTTCATAGAGCAGACTCGTCGATCGCAGCCCGTTCTTCGCATTGGCCTCATTGACGGTCTCATTCTGTAGAGACTTCCACTCGTCCTCTGTCTTCGTGTCGCCATGGTAAATGCCCGAATTGTTCATGACGAAGATTAGCGCGGGAATACGGTGGCGCGCAAGAGTTTCGACTTCCATCGCACTGAACCCGAACGCACTATCGCCTTCCAGTGCCACGATCTTCTTTGGTTTCGGTGCATTAGTGCTGGCTGGTGATGATGGGATATTGTACGCTGCGTGCGCGGCGACGATGTAGCCTAACCCGACTCCCATCGTAGCATATGTTCCCGCATCAAGGCGTTGCCGCGGGTGTTCCAGCGGGAAAGAGGAGCGTGAGATGTCCATTGTGTTAGCGCCTTCGGAGACATAGACGATGTCGCCCTGTTCCGGCGGCGAGAGGGAGTTTAGAGTAGTCTTAATAATGTGATAGGCACGTTGGATGGTTAAGAATTCGTTGGGTTTAGTAGGTTGAAGGGCCTTTTGTTGTGCAGCATTTTCGTTTTTCGTAGCAGAGGCGGCGAGGAGGGATGGGTATGAATTTGGCGATGTAGCGGATGCAGGCTTATACTGCCAACCGGACAGAGACGAGAGAAGCTGCTGAACTACCAAGTTGATGTCACCAACTATCCCCAGCTCCGCATCTCCAGCATTGTGTCCGATCTCCTGCGCGTTACTATCCACCTGGATAAGCTTGACGGAGCGGGACCAGCGGGGTGTTTCTCCAAAATGGAGAATCCAATTCAGCCGGGCACCGAAGAGAAGAACGACATCTGCATGTTTCAATGCTGTGCTTCGTGCGCTCGATGTGTTAAGTGGATGCGAATCAGGTATCATTCCCTTACCCATCGGGGTTGGTAGGAAGGGTATGCCCGTCCTCTCTACAAACTCGCGGATACAAGACTCCGCTCGTGCATATGCTGAACCCTTCCCAATAACGATGAGCGGTGCACGTGCTGCTTGTAATAACTGCGCCACCTTCGATACAACCGCTGGATCACCGCTGGGTTTAGGCGGAGGTGGGACAAGAGTATGCTCGGACGGCGGCAATGCAAATCCCGCGGCAGTTTTCCCTTGAATCAAGTCTGCAGGGAGATCGATAAAGGTGGGTCCTGGCCTGCCATACCAACATGTTCTATATGCGTTCCGAATCGCACTGGTCACTGATTCTAGCGATGGAGGCCGTACGGAAAGCTTGGTGTGCGGCGTGAGGAGTGAGATGGCATCCATTTCTTGAAAACCTCCCTTAGTTATCATGTGCGATTCCACTGACCCGGCCAGGACGAGTAGTGGGAATGTGTTTACAGAGGCATTTCCGATCTAGAATTCATGGTTTTAAACAACTACTCGTTAGCGTTCAAGGACCCCCCAGTATCGCAATAGTAGAAAATTCATCCACGACACTGAATGTAGTAACGGAGGGAAGAATCCATCGACTCACCCCAGCCATGGCATGCAAAACTCCCGGCCCACCCACAACCAAGCACACTCCAGGTTTGCCTGACATGTACCCATAAACGCTTGCCGCATAGCTGCAGGCTTGTTCGTTTCTAAACGCAATAAACCTAATACCCAGATTGATCGCTGCCTCCGCGATTTCCACCACGGGGATGCCGACAATGCCGAATATGACGGTGACTCCCAAGTTGTGAAGAGAGCGAGCGATTATTTGGGCGCCGGTTAGAGGTGGCATTTCTTTTGCTTTCTTTTCCTTCTAAAACCGTAATTCCACTCCTTGCGCACGTAGTTTTCCTTTCAATTCGTCGTTTCTCTGGTGAGCAGGAGCTGTGTAGATTCGGTAGTTAGATTGAGTGAGAGCCGGGGAGCGGGGAGCGGCATAAATAAGCTTGATTGGGCAGTTAACACGGAACAGTTCCCTTCCTCTCTCTCTCTCTCTATATTGTTGCTTTTGATGAAAATATAGAAAATTCCAGGACAGAGACGATTAAAATGAGTATATTCGTACCGGCCGAGATGGCGCTGAGTCTTGATCAAAATGGTGGAGAAAGCTGTTCGGTTGGGATTTTGTGACGCAAGAGCTAGAGACTTGAGGAGAGCTTATTATTAACTATTTACAAGTGGTTGGGATTGGCCGGTCAAAACATAAAACAACCCCAAGAGGAACGTACAGCAGTGATTGAAAACAGTTTATTCTATGATATGAGGATGTACAGCCGGAACAACTATGTATATTTTTGCCTTTTATTTTTTATGTTTGATCAAAATTGTTTGCGCATATCTCAGCCCGAAACACGGCTAACAAACTCGATAAGCCAAGCAGGGATAAAGATCGGTTATAGCTCGTGGATCTATATGGATTATTATTATTCGTAAATAGCACATTTCTGGTATAAGAATGGATCAACTATGGATGCATTGCATGAGTAAAGGTAGAACACCTTATAGCCCAGCGGGCAATGGGATATCCAAAGAGCGCTGGAAAAATACGCTCATGTGGAGGGTCTTGACATTGCATGCGAGGCGCAAAATATACCTCTCTCATATTCTCCAAAATATCATACCTCATTTCAAACGTAAGACAATCAACTAACTCATCCTTCCCTCCCTTTCTAGTTTACTCAATATCTAAAACTCAAATTCCGATCTGAATACGGACACATCCATCCCGCTAACTACCAAATCACTCAAATCCCGCCGACCCATCTGGCTAAACACACGTCGAAGCGTATCATACAAGTTCGTGCTCTGATTCTGTGAAATGTGAATCATATGCTCCAGCTGCGCCTCGTCAACGCCATCGCCCACAATGTCCCTGGCACGTTCCCGCCCTTCATCCTCCACGACTTTGTGCATCGACAATGCTCCAAGCAGATGCTGCGCGGCTTCCGGATAGCAGCCAATATTAATACAGGAGACGCCTAGATTGTACCTAGCACGGACGAAGTTGGGGTTTATAGTCAGGGCCTTCTCATAGGCTTCGATGGCTTCCTCGGACCGGCCGGAGTTGGCGAGCGTAGCCCCGAGGCGGTTCCAAAGAAGATGCACCTGGTCCTTCTGGTTGGAAATTCCAGATTCAGTGGATGCAAGGGCAGCGGTGAAACAATCAACGGCTTTGCTATATTCTTCTGCGCCATAGAAGAGGACTCCTAGGCCAACTTGGACGTCTGGGTCCATTTGCTCGCCTTGTGGAGAGAGCTGCGCGGCCTGGATGAAGAGGTCTGTGACCCGTTCGTGTAGAATGTGTCGATCTGTGAAGCTCAAGTCACCATCTCCTGAGAGCGTGCTTGGATCGACGAGTTGAGGATACTTGACTGATAGCCAGCGTTCGAGGGTGCGGTAAGCAGTCGAGTCGTAGCCTTCGTTCGTATACGATACGGCAAGGCCCATGAGAGCATCGAGGTTATTGGGATCGAGTTTCAAGGCTTGTTCTAATGCGCGGATGGCGGGGCTTTCCTTTTCATTCTGAGCCTGAGCAGATCCTAGCATCGTCCATGCTTCGACGTGTTTGGGATCCTTCTGCACCGCAGCTTCGAACGCGAGAGCAGCGAGAGAAAGGTTACCGCCTTCTCTCATGATACGCACGCCTTCTTCGAAGGGGTTATTGACTGATTTGAAAGCATTCTCCTCTTCGAAAAGGTAGTCGCCCATATTGGGGTCTCTAGAATGAGTGTTCAGAGTACTATCAAAGTGATCCCATTCACTGAAATCGCCCAGGTTCATATTATCGAAATTTAGGTCTTCGTCGACCAGTTGTCTGCGAGCTGCAGTCTCAGCCTGTATGTTCTTCCATATATCTTCAAAACGTCCGAACTCATCAGCCTCGGTGTGGACTGACCTATCGACCTCATTTAGCTCGGCCTCTATCGCCGCATTTGCTTCTGCATCCTCATCCTTCTGTCCCGACGCAGCAATCTCTGCAAATTGTGCTTCCCAGTTTTCATCGTCTAGCTCTACCATCCTTCCTTTCCCTTTATCTTCCTGTGCTGATTGCTGTGGTGGGTGATGATGTTGCATTCCCATGCCGTATGGCTGGCCCATCATACCCATGTGTCCAGAGTTCATACCGCCAAATCTCATCATTTGCGGTTGATATGAGCTCATCATCGGCGCGGACGAAGTAGCCGGGGCCGACGTTCCCTGCATACCATTCCGGTTTTGCTGCCGGAAGAGGGCAAACTCTGCTGAATTGAACTCGGGACCCCCAGGGAACGCTCTTCCCATCCCTGGTTTAAAGGCAGCTTCCATCCTTGCCTGTTCACCATGGTCGAACTCCGCGGCCCAGGCGGGTGAGCCCGTTCTTGGTGGCGCAGTTTGGAAATTTTCTAGTTCACGTCGCATTTGCTCCATGGCGAATGGTTGCGCCGGGCCTTGTGGCATCTGGTCACCTTGTTGGAGGAACTCATCCATCATCTATCAATGATTTTTTGTAAAGCAAACGAAGTTAACAAATCTGTACAGAATAATATGTATAATTTTTTGGCGTATACATAAGGGGATATGGTTTTTACCTTGTCCTGGCCTCCCATCATCCCCCTCGAGCGCATGCCCTCCTGTAGGCCGCCAGGACCCCGCCCAACGAGTCTATCTCGTTGTAGCGATTTATCATCCTGAACATGCTTTGTAAATTGTGTTAAGGGATTGCCTGCTGTCGAGCACTCAGGCCCGCTGAGGAAAGACATGTGTTCGAGATCGATATGCACGACGACGGATAAAATACGGGGGTATAGTAGGTTAATGATGAATGACAGCACGTGGGTCGTGCCGGACGAGTCGACTGACGGCGTAGAAAAGGTGGAGGAAGTGGCGTGAGTATAGATAATTTATATAAAAAAAAAGAAGAAGAAGAAAGTAAGCAAAGACGGGGAGGTTGAGAGAATAGGATATGTTGATATGTTTATATTGAGTCGGGCTCGAAGGTATTTGCCTTTTTTGCATTGGAGCAGCAGAGCCCGATAAGGCAACATCCTCGGGTGTTTCAAACATTACCAGATTACCGGCAAGCTGACATCGGTACCGGTGGAACGGCCAATGATTGGTTCGTCAACCAAATTTGTGTTGAGCTCATGCGTAGCATACAATACCGTACATTACTCGTGTTAATCAGCGAGCCATTAGTCAGCCATCTTGAGTTTTCATGTGGAAGGGTCAAAACATGTTTTGCCCGATGGAGGAATATTAACAAAAGCATCGATTGTTTTGTTGTTCATTCTTCAAAAGAGGAGACTAAGACCATATTACTCAAGCCATATTATTCTAAAACCACAAAATAGTAGTCCGCCTGTACTAATAAAACAATAAAATAAGGCAGAAAAAAGATGAGAAAAGCAAATTTTACAAAAGACTCATGAACAGCCGTACATGCAAGTATAATTTACAATTTTAGAAAGAAATACAGTGGAGAAAGAGATGAAAAAGGGCGTGGGGGCATGGAAAGTTGAGAACCAGGGAGACAGAAGGCTAAAGGTAGTTAAGGATAAAGAGGTTGACAGGGAAAAGAGAAAGGAGAACGAAACATGGGAGGACCCATCTTGTTCCTTTTCCCGCGCCCCAACAATCCCATGATCAAAATCGATGCAACAGATAGAACGCCCATAGTACGTAAAATATTACACTAGACACCTGTGCATGCCCCCATTCTCAGTTTACGGTAATGTATGTATCCAGAGCTTCATTCACTTTTTTTTATATAAAAAAAAATATATTGCGGGTAACCGACTCTACCGTGTGGATTCAGATACGGATTCAGAGGCAGATTCAGAGGCAGATTCAGAAGTGGCCTCTTGGGTCTCAGCAGCCTCCGGGTCGAAGGGCTCCGAGGATCGGGGGCCTCTTCGGTAACCCGGCGTATCCCTGGTGTTGAGGCTGAAATCGATGCGAAGAGGACGTCCATAAGGCGCCTTGTCCTTGAGAAGCTCCATCCCGGCCTGGGCGCTCTCGACGTCCAGGAAGTCAGCGTGGGCAAATCCGCGAGGCCTGCCGGTTCTTTTGTCGACCGAGACGCGGACATCTTTAACGTTGGGGATATCCTTGAACATCTCATTCAATTCGCGATCGGTCATTTCAAAGGACAGGTTTCCAATGAAAAGGGTCTTTGTTGGTCCAGTAGCGCGTGTTTTGGGTTCAGTGCTACCGCGGGTCGAATAGTTGACAACGATCCTACGTCCTTCATAGAGGGACATATTCAACTCGGCAATTGCAGCCTCAGCAGCTTCAATAGAGTCGAACTGGACATAGGCAAAACTAAGCGAGGGGGTGTTAGATAGGACACGAAGCAAGCGCGCAGAAGAGATAATGGGTGACAATTGGGGGGAAAGGAAAAGGGGGGGGGGATAAAAGGTACCCTCTGCTCAATCCACGGCTGTCATAGACAATGCGAACTGAATGGATAGTTCCGAATTTTGCCAGATCGCGTTTCAAGTCTTCAGCGGTGACTTCGAAAAAGAGGTTGCCAACGTAGATGGTGTCATTGGGTTTGAGTGGCAGAACATCTTTCTTCTGATAACCGACACTTCGAGTATATTCCAGTCTGTCGTTCCTCCGATCATACGGTTCGCTCTGATAAGCAGAGTTGAAGTTCGATCGCTGCTGGAAAGCTACTTTGGGGGGCTGGGCAGTCAATCTCAGGAGCGATGGGCCAAGTGCAGCTAGAGTTCCGGGCTTAACGGCAAAACCAGTCGGAAATGCGCTGATTGCGCGGAATGCTACGTGTCTGAGAGAAATCCTGCTCCATCAAAGGTTTCTAATGAGCTTTCCTGAAAGGATATGAAGAAAAAGCGAGAGAAAAATGAAAGGGGTATCTCACATTTTGATTGGGGTGTAAAATAAAAATTATCACAACAATATACAAGTATATCACACAAAGGAAGATGCAATCAGAAGAATAAAAGAAACTTTTCAAAGGTTGACAAGGAGGGCGGGCGAGGGTGAGGATGAGGTTGGAAGAAAAAAAGTTGCATGGGCGAAGAAAAAAAAGTCGATAAGGTTGAGGTGAATTTAAGTTTGGGCTCCATTGGGTTAGCCTGGCTGACTACTCCGAGTACAACTGGGTCACGTGAATATAGTCGTCCCGTCTACGAGTACACCAAATCACTAACAAATACAATGGCTAGACGTCAGAAAAACCCGTAGTCATATATATAATATTCCCGTTGTGGCTATCAACATATTATACATATCCGACAAAAAAGCACATCAAGCATATCTAGCCCGTCACCCCCTTGGAAGTAGCTAGCATCAAAATTTCATCATATATAAATGGGGACGTCGAGCTCCAGACTCCAGACTCCATATTTCTTCCATTTCTCTTCTCAATTTCCCTAGTTCCTCAAGAAAACAGTATCCAACGTCCAATGCAAAATAATATCAGAAATAATATCAACATAAAATTGGTATATATACAAAAAAATACGTAGGCCAACACCAATACCGCCCATCGCAACCAACACGCACACCCACACGAACATATCAAAACCGAGCAAGCAAGGTCCAAAATTTATGGGGCCAAAATCCCACCCAGACCGGCCAATGCATGACGAAGATGCTCACTTTGTTTTCCTTTCCTTCATAGAGAAAATGGAAATTATTCCCAAATGAGCAACCCCCCAATAAGTGACAAGGGTTTAGTTATTCGCGCCCTCCGGCGTCGAAAATGTTATGCTGCATTGCAAATACTCTCTTGCCGCCTGTCGTTTCTGGACCAGTCTGCTCCTCCTGCGGTTGTTGGTTTGATAGATGCGATTGATGCTGCTGGGGTAGTGTTGCTGCTGGTGGCGGTGGGGTCGAGGATGGCTGTAACGGCCCTGGGGAGAAGCCTTGCATGTCAAACATAGGCCAGTTTTGGCTGTTCGAGTCCGTTGTGGCTGTTTGGACGTAGTTATCCCATGCATCCTACAAAGCACCGAAAGCGGGTGTTAGCAGGGGGAAAAGGGACGTGTCCGATTTTCAATGTTCTAAATAAAACGTAGATGCATGGAGAAAATGGGAAGTGGTAAAAGAAACCTGGAGAGGGGGGAGGCGAGGGGGTTAGGAATAGCAAAAGCTCGAAAAGACACATACCCAATACATATTGAAGCCTTGCATTGCCGGTATCTGGCCAAATATTCCTATACCCATGCCCAGGCCACTTGCTCCAGGCGACGGCAGCTGTGTCGGGTCAATCATTCCTCCCTGATTGCCACCGCCACCAAAACCAGAAGACGTATCAAATTTCATCGGATCAGTGTCACCAAACTGTGGTGAACCTGTCGAGCCCATCTGGCTCTGGTTTATCCCAGCGCTCAGTAGACCCAACGTCATAGCGGCATTTTCCTTCTTATCTTGCGGCTCAAACGGCCGCTCTTCCGTTGTTGATGCCGTCGATGGTCCCGCAATAGTAAACGGGATATTCCTGTCCTGTTCCTGCTGTGACTGGCTCGGGAATAACTTGCCCAACATCACATCCATGATTGCAGTAGCTCTCCACGCATCCACCGATCGATCTTTGACTTCATTCCAGATATCCCTGGACCTGCGCAACATCGCAAGTTCTTCCTGATATCTAGCTATTCCTGACGCAAATGAGTCGGTGGAGTTGCGGTCGGTGTGCCTGGTCCTTTCTTGTATTTGTTGGTAAATGTCGAGGGCTAGGATTGTACCAGCCATGAGGAAGTCATGAGTGCTGGTGGTAGTTATGTAGCCAACGGTGTGTTGGAAGCGATTGTCGGTTCTGGACGGTGTCTGGAGCATGTTTTGGAATCGGAGGAGTTCCATCGCACTGTCGATGCAGGCGCGGCGGGAGTACGCATATCGCGGGTTTTCTCGACCGCGGTTGAGGAATCTTCGATGGAGCACACATTGTGCTTTATGATAGATACTTACGATCTATAGTTTACATATTTAATTTCTCACTATTAGCCAAAATAAGGGTGATTGATGGGTTTCGTAAAGTTGCTGGAAGAGATAATAGAAGGCAAAAGAAGGGAAGGGGAAGAGGAAGACGTGAAGGTGACAGGAAACTTACCACAAATCTTGCCTTGGTAACGTATGGGGACTCATTGCACTCCTCGAGTGGTTTAACACTCATCCGTTCTGGAATCATATCATGGGCCTGGCGAAGTTGATGATCGAGGTCCATGACCTCTTCATACGAGCACCCCTTAACCTTCTGCGTCGTTTCCAGTAACCGCCCAAACGCGATTGCAATCCTCGTCTTGACAATTAGGAACGAGATCGGTGTCGGCTCATCGATGGGTCTTTCGGGCGGAAGGTTGACCGAATCTTCGTCGAAATCGGCATCATACAGGTTTCGTGGAAGCTCTGTATCGCAGTCCCCCGTACGAATCATAGAAGGAAGACCAACCTGGAAAGAAAGTAGGAGATCGGCCTGTCGAATAAACGCCCACAACCGCCTCCTCATCTCACCCTGGAAAACAGAAATATTGGGAAACATCTTTGCGTCGCGGTGATAACCCATCCGCATAGCCAAGCGAACTATCACCCCTATCAGAACCCATACCGACACTTCTGATTCGTTCACCTGTGAATAATCGCCGTGTAAGTGAAGAACAAGCGCGTCGATCAAGTAGCAATGCGGTTTTGTATAGTCGGCGAGGACAAGGCACTGAGCCATGGAGTTCCGGTACGTGGAAGCCATATGTAGGGACTTGCCTCGGAATTCTGGGGGCTCATCCGATCTACCATGATATGTTAGGCATGCGAGTCGCAGCATAGCAAAGACCATGCCAATCCAAACAAGGCTAGTTTTCGACGGATCTTCCCAATGGCGCTCGTACTGTTAGCCACTGTTAGTAGATATCTAAAATGCCATGATTTTGACTGTGGGGCCCTCACCTCTCTCTTGAAACTCGGAACATGGATAATATCTGGATGCAGGTTAGCAAGTGCATCAGATGTTATTTTAACTGGGATCAACGGCTTACGAGTAAATGGGTCATAGTGATCAAAATAGCGATTTATTAGTATATCAGTAGTATATCTCGACGGGAAGTTGGACAAAATCTCTTTCTCAGAGGGAGGTTTCATAGCCCCAAAAAGCAAGGGGGGTGCAGCAAAGTGCGGCTCATTATTCGCCGCTTCAATCTTCTCTACATGCTCCTCATATTGCTTCTTATGTGTTATGAAGTACTGCTTGACTTCCGATATCTGAAATATGGAAAATCAGCCATCTTAGGTTCACAGTTCAATCAAGAAACGGGGGGTGTCAGTATTCACTTACATCGTTAAGAACCATCATCCAATGCACTTCGCTGACATAGTAAGTCTTTTGCGATTTGGTATCAACCTTCATCACCCCAAATGACTTGGTTACCTGCTCTGTATCGCTCTCTTCCTCGCCACCGTCCATCTCATCACCAATGAGTTCCTGAGTATCTTGCCGCGATGCAGAGCTAGTGCTTTCTCCTGAAACCGCTGCATGTGCCGCTGTTGGTCCGGTGGATTGAGAGCCATTGGTCATGAGCGACAATACAAGCGACTCAAGTCGATCAATGCGACTCTGCATTCCATCAGGAGTCACGGGCGAATCCTTGCTGTTGACAGGTTTCTTCCGGGTCTTCGGCTGGGCGTACGTACACGAGGGGGCATCGCTGCGTTTCACGCAATTCTCGCAGGGCATGCCGCGGTTGCACTTCAGCCTGGGAGAGATCGGATATCAGACGAATGATCTTCCACGATACATGTATATATTTTTCGCTGCCGAATGATTAAGCTTACTTCCGACTTCTGCACGGTGCGCACGAAACCGGTACACGGTTCCGCTTCCTAACTACTCTGTATTGTCCTTCGGGGGAATGCGCGCCGATGCTCGACGAGGTGGTAGATGGAGGAGTTGGAGACATTTTTTTCGGGTTGGTTTGAGACGTGCGTCTCTGAGAGCTTCGAGTGACGCGAAAGGTATTGAAATACGGAGATAAAAGGCTACCAAGCCAGAAAGGGCAGGGGGTGTGTTGGGAGAAGTCTCAACAGAACAACTCGAGTATTTCTCAATTGTCACAGCTAGGATACTCCTACTAAAGTTGAATAATGACTTCAGAAGACCAAATGCACGTTAGATTTCCAGGTACCACGCCTTCGATCAGATGGATAAATATAGCTTACCCTCCCCCAGTATAGTCAGATTTGATACCAGAGGCGACCAAACTGCAAACTTTGAGAGGCTTCTCCAAACAGCGCCGCTTTCTCCCAGCGTACACCCGTTTTCTGCTTCACCCAGAAGAAGCCTAGCGACACGGTCTGCCACAGGTCCACTGGTTTCCCGCGGGCCAGTTCGAGCTGTGGTTGGGATGGTCGGGTAACGTGGTACTCTTTAGATTCTCCTCACCCTTTAAATTGGGGGCCAGATTTCCAAAATATATCCTTGGATAAAGTATAGCACAGGGTATCGAAGGAAAAGAAAGACAAATGAAGGAAAGGGTGACAGAGATGTATAGTGCAATAACGTGAGTTACGGAGTTCGGTGTCGACAACGAGGCTTTCCCTGCTTAAAACGACAGCCCACCCGTAAAACTATTCTCGGTAGAAAAGGCGGGAGAGTGATAGAAGGCGGTCGAGAAAGGAAAAATTGCAGGTCTGGTCTGAAAGAGACCAAGAATATCAGTGAAAAAGTTGAATTTCAAAGCGGGGAGGGAGGGAAGCTTGTTGAGACGGCATCGTTCGAAATATTTACCTTTTCACCCCCCCTACAAGCGGCGCGCTCAAAAAACTCGATCAATTGCCAACTTGTAACTTCTAGCCGCGGAAAGTTAGTCGAAGCGGTTTGACGGACCTATTCGCTCGACTTGAACAACAAGTGAGATTGCCGACGGTCAGAAGGGACGATACAGAAGATGAACACTAATTGTCAGCCAGATGGATGACTTTGTCCTGCTTGCCAACCACAATCCCTCCGAGCAAGGCTCCGGCCGCCTTTAGCGGCGAATCTTGGCTGGCGGAGCATTTTTGAGTGCCCGTAGCGTAGGCGGCACGCTAG